ATTCTTGAACATGATGAGAGTACTTTAATTTTTAGTAATATCATTGTGTTTATAATATTATTTTCTATTGACGTATGTTGCATCATTTGGCAAAAGTTTTTAAAGTTTTGCAAAATGGGCTGCAATCTCTCAAACTTTTGATGACTTTCAAACATCAGTGTATCACAAAAGCATTTACTGCATACAAACTTGATTGAGTGTTTGCCTTCATTATGCCACGATTGCAAGTTTTAGAGCTTGGTAGAACCTGCATTCACGAGATGAAACAGTTAAATAAACAATAGTCAGGAAATACATACTGGTGGCCATTTTTATTAATGGTTTGACTAATATGATGTCATATCTTAACCCCACCATGCAATTAATTTTTCCAGCCAATTTTATAATATACAGATGTATCCAGAAATGACACAAGATCAAAGATGGCGTATAAAGTATGAAAAGTTATGCAGGAATTTCTTTCAATAATTAAAGTTAAATGATCTATAACTTCTAAACAGCGCATAGTAAAAATTTAACAATAGCACAAGTTGTACAACTTTTTCTTTACTATAAAATAGCAGCAATTAAAAAAATATCAAAATTTCATCCAAAAGTACCTTAATGTGGTACAGATACAACGTGACTTTCATGGGTGTCATGCAAATTTTGCTAGTGAACCGAGGCACATAAGTATGCCAATCACGGTAACAGGAATATTGGGCAAAAACCATAATCTTGACTTGAAACATTGCAGCAGCTGAAATTACCTCATATTCAGTCGACCATGAGGTTCATAAATATAGCTTATGTCTGTTTATGTGACTCCTCACTGCTTTTAATGCAACAATATTGTAATAAATTCCAGCACAAATAAGTCTTCCAATGGCAAGAACATTTGCAGGGTCAAGTATGAAATTCTTAAAGACATACGGGCTGCAAAATGATTGTCATCAATACCAGTAATGGCTTTTGCAATTGTCCTTCAGAAACATGCCCCATCTCTGACAATCTCATCCTGAATATGAGGAGCTATTTCTCTGCAAGGAACCTGTTCAACAGCATCGACACGTTGAACAACTGCAATACCAGAAAGCTATGATATAATTGCAACTGCTTTCTGTACCCAATCTCTATTGGTAGAAGGAGGTAGTCATTTCATGCAAAACCTTTAAAGCACACTTGGTCTTTTCTTCATCAATACACCAGTCTGTTCAAGACTATGAAATGATTTTGTTTCTATTTTTTGACCCACAAAGGAACAGTTCCACAATCAACTCCAGTGGGTCTGTGATCTTTCATTTTGAATGAAACAGGGGTCAGCAGAACATTGGTACAGAGAGTACCAACTTTTTAATCTGAAACACACTTAGAGTGCATACAGAAAGAGAACCTACTTCTTCGGCCACTGCTATATGGAAACTTTGCTCTTTTAATTTCAATTGACTTGGTGTAATTGATGGTGTAGGGCACGTACTTAAGGATACCTGTACACCCTGCATCTTGTGGATAGATGTTGGGGTACTTTTGAATGGAATAGAGGTCAGCTGGCACCATGGTAAAGAGGAATCCCACTTTTTATTTTGCAACAAAAGTACAGTACGTACAGAAGGAGAACCCGCTATTTCAGCCCCTGCTAAGTGGGAACTTTGCTTATTGAATATTGATGGGCCTGGGGTCATCGACGGTGAATGGCACTGACTTAAAGATACAAGTACGTCTCACATGTTGTCCAAAGAAGTCAGAGTACATATGAAGTGAGAGCCTACAATATGATCAGTTGATACAATGTGAAATGTGCACCACAGGAGTACTTTGCCGTGGAATTTGTGTTAGAACGGGAGTATTTTATGGTGAACAGCATTTTGATACGGCTATCTCCAACTTTTTATCTAGGCTAAAGGATGAGTGGATGCAGTAGGAGAGCCTATTTTTTCCGCCATTGATGCATTGCATGGCACAATGACACTTCCAAGAGCAGGGTTACTTTAGTCCTTCACTTTTCATAGAACTGAAGGAGAAGGGACTTTCTGTGAATACAGACCCTTTTTGTTAAGTGGTGGTGTCCACAAGGCACCAGCAGGAGTGAGTGACCTATCTACAGAGGCCTTTTGTATTTTTTACATTATCAGGGCAATCCCTTTTGTGACATGGAAAATTTGGACATGCACACAATTCAGTAAACATTTCATCACTTAGGGAACTTTCAAAGTCATATAATCATCGTAATACTCAGATACATTGTCATCACATTTGGATGCATCGATGTCACAGGAGGTATCAATTCCAGTAGCAGTATGACAGGTTCTACTCTGTGGACAACTCTTATTGGATGTCCTACTGTGGTCTGTTGACCTACATTTGCATTTGTCAGTTGAGGCATTTGTAATTACTTTAGTAGATGCATCCCTTCCATAATCATGATTCACTGCACCTCTTTTATGAACAATTGCCTGCGTCATTGTTCAAAGACTACACTTTCTCTTTTAAAGCTTCCTTTTTGCTTTAGCAACATTGGTGTTCTTGCTTTTTATATGAAAAAATCAACCTGCACTCAGCTTCTTTAAGATAGATGGAAGATTCTGAACAACAGGAAGGCACATCCGCTCAAGGATATTAAGAATCCAGTGGTACTGAGGACCACGCTTCGTGAAAATTTTGGTCATGCAATCTTGAATGAGTCTTATGTTGGTAGAAAAGTGGTAGTGAAGACTTGCAAGGTTCCAATTTTTGGACCTATACATAACAGGTACATTGTGTGAAGCTTCTACAGGGTTTGTTGTGGCTTTACCTGTTTCAGGATGTATCAATACATCAGCCAGACCGCCATTCCTTGACAGTTTAAGTGGTAAGCTACGATGTGAAAAGGACACTTAAAAACATGGTCAGTTTTGTAAGGTTTTTAGCAGCATTTTAATTTGCCTTTATCTGTACAACAACCACAGCTACACACTACTAATGGGTGATAATCACACTGGCCACCATCCCAATAGTGTTTATCTTAAAATTTGTCCAATGCCAATTTTATTAACTTCTCTGAAAAAGCATTAGGGTCTGTGCCAGCATTCGTAAGACACATGTGAAATGATGCTTTGGCTTTTCTAATGAAATTTTCAGAGAGGTAACCATAGTGCTTAGCATGCTTTTTCTCCTTGCAGAAGCATTCAATTTTAACACCATCATCAGTTGTCATTTGCTATAATTTACGCAACTTATCTAACTTTATAGCATGATTCTTAGCAACATGATTGCCACTGCGCAATCCCAACAAAGTGGGAAATGTTTCAAAACAACATTCTCAGATGTGCTATTTCTGTCTTCAATGGGGCATTTCACATTCATTTGATACTTGACCATAAGCTTGAATACCTCGCTCATACCAAATTTTTCTGCTGCTTATGACGTACCTTAATATACTTTATCTTGACACAAATTGTCACTTCCCTTTTGACAGATGTGATAATGGTACAAAAGAGCACCAGTCAAGTAATCTCTCACAGTTTATATCCAGTTTTGGCTGAAACCGCCTCTACTCAGGTAAACAATGTCGCCACAGGAAACAGCGCTTTTCTCCAGCTCCTTAATTTCTTCTAATTCATATCTTGCTTTTCCTTACCGGTTTCAAAGCAAATAGCATCTAAAATGTCCTTCACATGTTCATACATTGTTTTAATTGTCCCAAAAGAACATTGTTGCTGACTGTATGCATTCCAAGGATGTGGCGAAACAGTTTTTTATATATAGCATAAGAGGGTAACAAATTGTAGCAACTTGTAAAATCTTATAAACAGGAGCATCACTATTTTTCTGCTCAGATGAGGTTTCAAATTTGACCAACTGTTTAGCAGGGACGTAGAAGGAAGGAAGGAATTGGTCAGGCCAGAGGGAGAAGATAGGTATGGCGCGCAAACGGTGCCGAAAAATTTTTTGCTGTTAATTAATTATTCATAATGGGTGTGGCTTAAATTGATTAATAATAATAATAATAACAAATAATAACAATAATAAAGGTCATAGCTTAATCAAACTTTCTAAAGTGAGTGAGGTGAGACTCATTACCGTCAATGAACTCCTGGGCAACATTCTTAAGTAACAATTGATCTAGAGTTTCTTTATGAACATGTATGGTCATTAAATGATTAAGTCGTGACTGAGTCATAGTAGATCTTAGAAAGGACTTTATTCTTTTCAGTGCATTAAAAGATCTTTCACTACTAGCATTTGTTGCCGGCACAACAACTTGGATTAGTTGAACAATCACATAGATTTTAGACAAGTACTCGGATCCTTGTGAACGAATATACAAGAATACTGACTGAATATCAATATCGTCTATAGGCTTATCTCGAAAAGCTGAATGAAGTAATTGAAGCTGTACCTTAAGACATTTAGGCTTAATATCACTTCCATAAAACTTGCATACATTTTGAAACTCCAGATCATGACACTGCCTTGTAACGCACTTCATAAGTAATTCTTAAAGATTCTGATAAATCTGATATCCAGGTTGATCAAACCTTTTTTGATAGCCTCTATAACTAAATCTAGTGCTTCAAAGTAAGATACTTGATACATATGTTTAGGAGTTTTATATTCTGTAGGTTCTGATCCTTCATCATATTGCTTAGGCCTTTTTCGTTTGCGTGGTAACACTGGGGATCAACATCACACTGCTCTGCTTTAAACAGTACTGCGTCCAAGAACAAAATAAAACTGGCATCATTTCTAAGTGATTCCAGTGTCTTCACAGTAAGCTCTGCTTGATGTTGCCCTTGTGCTGCTGTGAGTACTTTACTTTGAAGAGACTTGCTGAGATTATCTGAGTGTCCTAATATTAGCTCTCCAAGAGCCACTCCAATAAAAAATGAAATTTTTTCCATGTAGCTAGATACTCCATTTATCGTTCCAATAGTGTCTGTGTCAGAAAGAATAGACTTTGCCTCATCCCAAACATGCATTAGAACATCATAATTGGCTATAATACTTGAAAGAGCTTCTGCTGTAACTGTCCAACGAGTTGGTCAAAGTACACGAATACCTATACTGTCAGGTGAGAGCTCTTTTTTCAGATTATCAACAATAGCATTTCCTCTTGGAGAGTATTTGAGTAACTTTGTGATCTCATGGGTTACTTCAAGAGCATTTTTCATTAGAGGTGAGCCTTTCACAGAATCTCCAACACCAAGATTATGAGTGTGACCATAGCAATGTGTATAAATTGCACGTGGTTCTTCATTCATAATTAATTTTGCCAAACGATTCTTGCACCCTGACATTGCTGATGCTCCATCATAGCATTGGCCCCATAATTTAGCTAAGGAAATATTGCAGCGAACAAGAGTATCTTTAACAACATCAAATAAAGTTAATGCTTTGGTATCATCTACAGTACACAGACCAATAAAATCTTCGAGAACATCTAATGAACCAGATGCCCATCTCATTACAACGACAACCTGTTCTTTGTTTGAAATGTCAGTTGTCTCATTAATCATTAAGGTGCAAAATGGGGAATTCTGAATGTTACTGATAATTACTCATAATATCTGTAATGCCATTATCTGGATCAGTTCATTTTGAATCTGTGGTGAGATGTATCGTTGATATTTTCTTGCCATCCAGCTAACAAGCCTTGTCATCCTCAGTACGGAGGTTAAGAAGTTGAAACAAGTTGCTGTTTTCATCATTCCCAGAACCTCTCATTGGTAGTGTCCCTGTCTGGCAAGAAACCTTATAGAACTAAGAACTTTCAATAAATAATGATGATTGACAGCCTTTTCTTTCTTTGATTCAGATGAGAGCATTTCTCCGACATCTTGAACTTTCTGTGGAAGGCTCAGCATGATTTCAGTTGCAGCTTGATGGCAATCACTAGCCTCATGTTTCCTGAATGATGCAGTAGCATCCTTCCAATTAGTAAATCCACTTACAACAAAGGTTGTTTCCATTCTTGGATTACGCAACTTCTTTTCCTCTACTGCTTGAGCACAAGTAAAGCAGATGACGCTGTCTGACTCTTCCAAGTAATGAAGCCATTTCCATTTCTCGTACCATGCTGTTTGAAATGAATGAGTTACAATCTTTGTTTTACCAAACTGTCTCGTAGGGTAGGAAAACTCAAGAGGTTGGTGCTTCTGACGGCCCGTGGCAGAGACTATATTCTCCATGATGATACACCTGGCTGCAGTTGATTATTATTAATGTAGTTGCCACATCCATTAAGTCACAATTAATTAAGAGGTGTGCCTTTAGTATAATGAATAATGATTAAATAGAGTAAAAGTTGGTCAGGCCCAAACCGGACCTGCCGGACCGAGTTTTACGCCAATGTTTGGTCTCTGTGACAACAATACAATAACTGGTAGCATCTATGTGCAAATTACCCCTGCAAGAAGTATCCAGTCTAAATGTGCCATCAAGTTCACCTAGAGTGGGTCTTTCATTTTCAGTGGCACTTAGAACATTGTCTTTTTCCTCAGTAGGTACTGATTCTTCAGTACTTATTTATAACAAAGACATAGGAGCGAAGGATCATGACAATTGACATTAATTTTGTCACCATGAAACATTTTAATGATATACAGTACAAGTCGAAAAAAAAAGCTAGTTAGCTGCTTTAAAGCTGCTCTATGTTTGTGGCAGGTATACCGTTTGTGCTGCCTATGCACGACATTGAATCTTCGTGCATGCGCAGAAAAATCCTCTACATTGATACTACGGTCTCTCTACCTTGCTTCCTACGGTCTCTCAACCTTGCTTCACTGCGGTCTCTCTGTTCCGTCACTCTTTTTGACATGGCTTTCACTTAAAGGTTGCTTACAAAGCTTCGAGGTGAGTTTCTTGTCTATGTACTTTTGCTACTATGCCTTTCTGTATATCTATTTTGATGAGTTTTATGTTGTTTATTTTCATGCTGACGAAACAGTATCAGTGGTGAAAAAGAAGGCAATTGTAGAGCAAGAATGTGGAGACTATTGTCAAGTGAAGGTAAAAAAGCAGTTCTTCACAGGCAGAGTACTATCCTATTGTTACTTTTGTGTACTGACTTAAAACATATGGTATGTATAATTCAGAGTGCAAAATAATAATTTAAAAGTGGTCAGACAGGATGACTTATCATATGCCACTTTGAGTGGCTATCACGATAAAATGGTTGGAGATACAAAAAACATTTAATTGTATTAATTCTTTCTATTATTATTGCTATTATAAATTATTATTTATGAATGTCCAAAAAAATTATAATAAAAATAATTTTTATCATTGTTTTATGAAAGAAATTAATGAGTCCTTCATCCAAGTGTCCCATTCATTGAAAAGGCATGTTGAAGTATCAGAATTTGCTTCATCATTTTCACTTTCAGATGACAAACTACATGTGGTAGTTCCTCAGTACTACTAGTAGGAGTGCTAGATGTTGTTGGTAATGGTTGAGAGCATCTCTTCTTTTCATGTCTTCCTCTTTCACTGGTTTGGCCTCCTGAAGAGTATTCATTTAATGGAGTTTGATCTGATGTGAAAACAAGTAGGTCATTGAGAGGTCCATTTGAGAGTAGAGTTCTTTTCTCACTTTTGATTAAATTAACTTAAGAAAAAACACTTTCAAGCTTGCCATTTGATGCTGGTAAGGAAAATAGAATCTTGACTAGTATAAAGATATTGCACCACTCACCAGCACTAGGGAATGAAAAATTCTCCACCAGACTGCTTTATAATCGAGAGTTGAGAGGGAAATAAATTGGATAGCATAGTAAAGTACAGCATGAAACTCGTAAGCAAGTTTTCCAACATCAGCTGCAGTTGCTTTGAAAGGGATAGCAAATCTCTCATTCAATCATGTAATAGCTTCCATTGAATCATTTTCCTCCACTGCCTTCTCCCACCATTGAGTTCCAAGCACAATAACGATATCTCTCATTAGCTCAAGATCTGACCATGCCAAGCGTAAATGAATGCATTCAATCACCTTAGTACAGTACTCTTTACGATGATTCTGAAAGTATCTTAATCCTCCAGGATATTTCTTCAACTCTTGACACTGATAAACCATCTCTTCAATTTCTCCTTCACAGCTAATATTTTTGGTAGTTGCAGCAAATGTTGGCTATTCTCCAGAATTTTAGAACTCAGCCTGTCAGTTTCTTTAATTGTTTTTCAAAGACTAGTGATAGGTCCCAAAGTATCAACCTTTCACTTTGCATCACCTTTTAAATATTGAGCAAGGCATGAGAATATCTACAAATACAGCACAACCAATGACGTATTTGCCTTTCGTCTATTTATTATAATATGCCTTCAGTTTCGCACGGTCACTGCTTTTAACAGATGCATCCTCAGAAAGTGCTTCTAGGTGGTTAGTATATGCACCGTACTTAGACCAAACACGTTTTAATGCTGCAACCTTGTCACTGACCCAACTTAAACCACTAGCTCTAATAGGCTTAACACCATCTTGGAACTAACGACACTTTTTCAGATCACTGAAAATATCATGGAGTTCTCGACACTTCTTTGAAGATTTCTCGTACAAGTAGTAAAATCCCAGAAGCATTTCATCAATTAAATCAAATGCTGTGCCTTTAAAAGCATCTTTTATTGCTAACTCAATTCTGTGACCAATACACCATGTCCAAAAAATCCAGGGCAGTTTTTCTTTGACAATTCCTTTAAGACCACCACTTTCAATGTTTGCTGATGCACCATCTGTTGCTACCTCCACCAATTTATAGCAGTTAGTATCATCAATGCCCTGAATACCGAGACTTTGTAGAGAACCTTCTATTACTTTCAAGAGACCAACCCCAGACACAAAATCAGGCTGAAAAACTTTTAAGAAACTCATTTTCGAGTGTATACACTCATCCTTACAATTAATATCTCACCACGCAATTAGCATAGCTCATTGTCACAATTACCCTTATCCGTACACCCATCTAGCAAAAATGAAAAGAAATCTGCTTTACCAAGGGCATCTGTGAGCTCATGACATTTTGCTTCTCCAATGTAATGAACAAAGGTTCTACTTCATTAGTATATGTTGTTCTAATGTCAACTCCATGTTTGGTCTCAAGCTCACGCAACTTAGGATATTTCTTAAATGAATGTTTCTCAGTGGCAATAAAATAAGCTATATCAAATTTGTTTCTCAGTCTTGTTTTCTCTTGTTCTGGAAGTGCTTCAAGAGCTTTTGCTATGTGTGCATTAGATGCAGGACTCTATCATTGGATCTCAGCTTGCTCCTTCTTTAAAAGAGACATGGCAAGTTTGTGTTGAGCAGTATGGACGTAGTCTTTGAGGTTGGAAGTACAAAGCAAATCAGTTTCATTGATCCACTTCTCACTGAAGGTTTTCCTCCCTTTTATCTTGTCTTGATACTTAAAACAGATACTGCAGCTAAGTTTGGTCACCACTCTCTTCCCGCTGTCAAACTGTGAATGACAATTTAACCAATAAATGTCTGCAGCTCACAATCATAATCTTGCTTCCATTTTGTAAAAGTATCATAAGTAACGCGTCGTTTTTAGCATCTGAATCTAATGATAAAGATGAAGAGATTGCTCTTTTCATAGCCAAGAGTATAACAGACCAATGAATAATTAGATTAAAGTAAACTAGGGTGTCTGGCTGTTATGGCTGTTCACGTGCTTTTTCTTCTGGTCACTATCAGGAAACGCCCGGAAATTGGCCAGTGTCCGCTAGTAATTTTGCACTCTGTATCTGCATTAATTTTTTGGTATGATTAATAGGATGTAAAAATTATGTAGTTAGTTTAGAAGAGCAATTTCTCGCTGGAGTTTATACTCCTGACTCTCTACCTCCAGTATCATCTAATGAGAAAACTGAAGATAAAGTGGTATTGACTAGAACTCTAACTAGTCTAAGTACAAGTATTTATTGAACAGCACTCCTGTTAATAAAGTGAATAAAAACAAAAGTAATGCTAGTGTTTAACATTTTTTTATTTTAGTAAAGTCAAAGAAGAGGAAAAGTGTGGGGAGTACTGTTACAATAAAGGAAGAAACAGAAAAGGAAGCAAAAACGAAGAAACGTATATATGCATTCATCATTTATTTGTGAGTGTGCAATAACAACGATTGCTTTCACCCCATAGTTACAGAGAAACAGTCTAATTACTATTCTGGCAGTAAGTATTGATAGTGATCAACCCCATAAGAAATCTTTAGGTGCTGATATAAACACATCTACCGGCACTAAAACCAGTCTAGTTACAGCTGCAAACAATTTGTGTTTAGAAGAATAGCTGATGGTAATTGAAAAAAGAATAAATAAATGATAAGGTGATAACATAAAATCAAAAGCTAAATAAAAATTTATAATCTGGAGAGAATTTCAATTGAGATAAGGAGGTATTGTACTTGGGAGAGACTTATAAAGTCTAATATTGTACTTGGGAGAGACTTATAAAGTCCAATATTAAATGGAAGGAAGAAGAGGCAATAGGAGGAGGTGCGACAGAATGGAATAAAATTATAGGGGTAATAGTGACAGAGAGACACAAGTGGAGGAGGAGGGTGTGAAATATGGGGAAGGGTTGATTACAAATAAAATAAATCTTTTGAAGAGTCAGATACGGTGCTTCCCAGTCAAATAGCGTTTTAATCTTCGGAGTCAGATATTTCCCCACAACCGTCACCTATTCCTGCATTGTCATAAGATAATGATATCCATGTACAGCACTCAAAATCGGGTCATGATGGTAAGTTATAAGTAATTTCTTACTTACATTTATTTTTTAATATTAACAGATTTTAATGAAATTGTGGCTTCATTGAACACTCGTATAAACAAACGGAAAGCTGAAGTTATCACATTAACTAACAATTACAATACACTGCTTGGTTATGTTGAAAGTTAAATACTTGGCATTATTTTGATAATGTGACAATTCTTTAGTCTTCTTATAGAATTCGATTCACCCACTTCAATCATTACTGTCCACATTTACAGAGATGTTACCAATGCAACAGCGGGCTCTACCAGTACCACTACCAGTGTCACAAGTACCAGCTAATATATCATCACTTGCTACTACAACAGTTGTCTCTACATCACCTATACCAGTCTCTTCATCATCAAAGCCAGCAAGTGCAGTTTCAGACAGTGCAGCATCACATTCTGGTGCAACTAAATTTGAGGTAGGGGAGAT